CTGTTATTGCTTTCTCGGCTCTTATTAAGTAATCCGTGACTGTCTCGTGAAGTTCTTTTTCAAGTGACGTTAGCTCAGTGTAGAGTGTGATGATTCTTAGTTTGCTTTGATTTGCATAATGATCTCGGAGTATTTGTAAAGCCTTTCGGCCATCGTCGGTAGCATCCCTCATTACCAATGACAGACTGGTGTCGTAAAAACAATGTATATTAAACTCGGCGTGGCATTCTTCGTTCTTTGTTGCGTTAGCCTCTTCTTCTGACGGCAGGATAGTATCCTTTAGTTTTAATAACCTCATGTGCGCGAGGAATTTCGCTTCCCACAGTTCGTAATTGCTTTGTTTTCCATCGAAAGTCAACCTTGACCAGCGTGATTCTCTGCTGGGCCCATAACCTGTTGAAGCCATGACTTTAGAACACCGTATTTGTAATGAAATCACCCTTTATTTTCACGTTTATTACAAATGTAGTTTTGTACAGTAAGTTACTTTCACGAGGAAGTTCAACTAATAACACAACAATCCCATCATGCATTTGTCTCTCCGTATTACGTCATACTTATATTTGGATAACATACAGTTTTATATTGAACTCAACAAAAGGAAGTCATCATCGAAATTTGTCCATCTATATTGTTCAAAATATATTTCATCAGGGCAAAGAAATGAGAAATATCGGTCTAAACGCCCATAATATTGTGTTCTTCAAGTCACCAAGAGATAAACAGCAAATTTCTATGCTTGCAAGGCAAGTAGATCCTGGTAAAGTACAAGAATTTATGAGGAGTTATGAAGACGCTACGAGCCGACCTCATGGGTATTTGATGTTGGATTTAAAGCCAACAACGAGTGATCAGGAACGACTTAAGACGAATATACTTTCCGGCGAGATTGCAAAGTTTATACAAAAACAATCGTATCGACAACCACCGCTTCTAAATGCCATGTATGATGCCGAGCAGCAAATGAAAGAAATCATGGAAGCGCCACAGCTTAGCGCCGTGGAAAAAAGCAAATTATATTCTGATCAGCTAAACCGGTTTCTGACATTCAAAATAAGATGGCTCATTCTTCTTCTGGAATTCCTGCTCAAAGTATCCCACAAACGCCTGCAGAGATGCCACAACCCAATGAATCTGTTGAGATAACACCACCAGTACCTGCTACTCCTAAACCTAATTTCCTTAAGCCCTGATTCCACGAGCGCTTTTTGTCAGCGAAATGCGAAATATTTCGCCTGTTTCTTTTGAATTGCGACCACTCATAAATTACAATGTTTCTTTTGAATTGAACATATCATAAATTACAATGTCATCTCAGTCTACCGCTGTCTACGTATATCGTAACAAACAGGAGAAATATTAAAATGTTGTTTTTCGCCAGCGCGTTTATTGTTTGAAATTCCCTTGAGGCAGGGGCGGATCTAGGGTAAGTCCAATCAGTCGCGTGACTGACGTATTTTTTGCAAACAAATAATTAATTTATTATTTCGAAATTTGAATAATTAATTCCCGAATATAATATGAAATTCATATGATAGTCCAGTATACGTCTTTACGAGCTCAGTTTTGAATAAATATATGCTTTATCTAGAGCAGTGGTAAAACGCAAGAATCTCGCAGAATCGGGTGGTCGTTATGCTCATTTGATTGGTCGAGAGGTCATTTGGACTTATCTCGACTGATCTGTGGGGTGGCCGGACTGATTTGCACTTTAAGGGAGTGAGTTTTTTCAGTCCATTTCGTTCCTTTGATTGGTCAATTTGAAAATATTGTGGGGTGGTCGGACTGAATTGCAACTTAAGGGAGTTTTTATGGGGTGGTACGACTGATTTGCACTTTAAGGGAGTTTTTATCAGTCCATTTTCTTCATTTTGATTGGTCAATTTGAAATTATTGACAATTTCTATTGGTTCATTTTTTTGGACTTATTCGCGGCAGGGGATATCAGTCCTTGAAAATTGCGAAATTCATGCAAAGCAGTCTTTCATATTCCCGTGTACGAAGGTTTTTCATAGTTGGGAGAATTATTTTACGATGTCGAGTATTTATATGTACGCGGCCGATTTTACGAAACGATTTAACGGCCTTTAATAAACTTGAATTGTCTCTGAATGAGGATTATTGTGGGGCAGCTAAG